CTGCAAGACTTTTGAATTTGCTGTAAACTGAGGGTTTAGCAGGGCAATCCTCCACCAACATAGCTGTGTAACTTAAACTATATCCTAAGCGCTCTGGTGTGTGAGACGAGGGTGGTGGAAACTTTCATTTTGTGTCCTTCCATCAACCCCTGTGGGGTGAATTTTAGTTACACCCAGGGCATTTTTTTTCCAGCCGGAACTTGCCGGAACTTCGGTTCTGGCGCCTCTCAGGTGGGCGCCATTGCCATTATAAAGAGAACAAGGGAGGCGTTCCGGTGACTTCCAGCACCTCTTTTTCTATATAAAAAAAGCACTGGTTACACCTGCATTTTTTGTGTGGTGTTATTAATTGCTTTGTAGGCAGGATCAATTAATAAAGAGCCGGGGGCGGATCTACTATGAAACTAAAGAAGCTTAAGTTTCAGAGCCGCTAATCCCAGAAGCAACTTTACTGTAGTCCACATTGCTTCCTTTTTTATTTTTTTATTTTTTTAGGTCCAATCTCAGTGTCACAACTCAAATTGTTTATTTTTGTTGTTGTTGTATCTATTTCAACAATCCCAACGTTTGAGAGTCGGTAGCACAGGTGTCGTCAAGGTGTGGCGAACTGCCGAGGAACAACCTTGTTGAAGAAGACAACAGGGGTTACCCCAGAACTTGTTGCTGGTTGCAAAGGGCTCCCCATAACAGTTCAAGCTTCAGGGACCCCAAAATGTAGGTCCGCCACTGGTACAGGGAGCTGTTTTATCCTCTTCCCCAAACCCAACCCACTCTTTCGCTGGCCCGACACACACCTTTTCGTCACCTTCGCACTGAGGTAACTTCTGGCAACTTCTTCTGCCTTCCCTCAGTTGGGGTAAGTAGATACACCATGGTAAGGAATTTGTGTTGGCTTAAGGTCATATTTTTAATATTTATTTATTTATTTATTTATTATTTTTTTCATTCTTTTATTTATATTTTATACATTTATTTACATTGTACACATTCTTTTTATTTTTTTAAAAAAATATTTTGACAAAGTAATAATCATAAGTAAATAAGAAGAAAAATGTGCACCCCAACTCCAAGACCATTCCATTGTAACTATCCAACCTTAATGTATTTTCAATCTTTGTTGGAAGCCGCCCAGAGTGGCTGGGGAAACCCAGCCAGATGGGCAGGGTATAAATAATAATAAATTATTATTATTATTATTATTATTATTATTACTTAAGGTTTAAGGTCATTTTAATGGGGATGGGGAGGAAGAGATGCCGCATTCTACCCTCTCCCAACCTCCATATTTTGGCACTCGGTTTGCATTGTAAAGCTGCAGTCCTAATCCCACTGAATAAGCCCCATCAATTTCAATTCAACGTACTTCTGATGGTCTTCATGTTCAGAGCATAAGCAAATCCTGCCTGGATGATGGCAAAGTTTCATATAGTTCATGGTTCTGTTTCCAATATGGACTTTCCAGATCATTCTGGAAAATTTCTGTGTCGTGTCAATCTGCCTATCTATCTATCTATCTATCTGAAAATATCTTCAGTCAGTCTGTCCGTCTGCCCTGGCCCTTTCCTGTTTTTGCTTCTTTGTGTAAGAAAAGTGTAGTTTCATGCATGTCATTCCACAGACCTGGGTAATTCCACCCCCCACCAAATACCAGACCAAACAGTTTTGGGAGGTTCTCTGTTCCTTCTGTGAGTTGCTGTTTGCATTGTGTTCCCAGCAGCACTTGAGTGACACCTTGTGGTAGATCATAAACATTTCAACAATGGCCCTTTCTTTTCCAGTTACAGTAATCAGAAGTGCTTTCAATAAGTGTGCGTGGTGGGAACATTGTTTGAAGGGTTACTGCTTCCATGTGTACATGCAGCAGCTTCCTGTGGGCATTCTACTGAATGAGGATATGTCCTAGCTAGAACTGATACTACCCCATATTCCTTGAATGACTCTTAAGGGTAACAGCAGCGATAAGGCAGCTGTGCCCTTCAGAGGCTGTTGGACCCCAACTCCCATGAACCTCAACCAGCATGGCCATTGGTGATGCATGATGGGAGTTGGAGTCCAACAACATCTATACCTGAAGGAGCGTCTCCACCCCCATCGTTCAGCCCGGACACTGAGATCCAGCACCGAGGGCCTTCTGTCGGTTCCCTCATTGAGAGAAGTCAGGTTACAGGGAACCAGACAGAGGGCCTTCTCGGTAGTGGCGCCCGCCCTGTGGAACGCCCTCCCTTCAGATGTCAAGGAAATAAGCAGCTATCTTCTCTTTAAAAGACGTCTGAAGGCAGCCCTGTTCAGGGAAGTTTTTAATACTTAATGCTGTGCTGTTTTTAACATATGATTGGGAGCCGCCCAGAGTGGCTGGGGAAACTCAGCCAGATGGGCAGGGTATAAATAATAAATTATTATTATTATTATTATTATTATTATTATTATTATTATTATTGGAGATCATAGCTGGGTTACAGCTTTAATGCATCTTAGGGATAGGGATGTGTGTGTGTGTGTGTGTGTGTGTGTGTGTGTGTGTGTGTGTTTTGGATCCCCATATTTAAATCCAGAGAGGATGTATTTTTATATGCCTTACAGGGGGTTGAACTAGATGATCCTTGGGGTGCCTTCCAGCTCTCCAATTATATGATTCTATGAAACATTACACCCTGGTCCAGATAAGCAATGAGCAACAGCACATTGAGTACAGAAAACCGCAATAATGCCAATAATAATAGTAGTAGTCGTAATGTTTATACCCTGCCCATCTGGCTTGGTTGCCCCAGCCACTCTGGGAGGCTTATTATGTTTATAAAAACATAATAAAACATGAAGATATTGTCCTGAGAAAGATGTAGCCGTGTTGTGATATTTACAGGAAATTAGGGATTTCATTTTTCGCTAAAAGTTCCAAGTTAAGGAAATACCTTTTAATATATAGCAGCAAACTGAACCTCAGGGAAAAGTTACAGGGAAACATTGTATAGGAATAAGAATGGATTTTCTACTGGTGTTCTTTTTACTTCTTCTGCCAGTCATTTTTTTGACAATGGGCTATATAACTTGGCTCTTTGACTAATCTTCCTAAAACAACCACAGTGTCTCAGTCTTTTGAATGACTGCTCCAGACAGGTTTCATTTTATTTTCTCCATCCTTGCCCCCCTAAGAAGTGTACTAAAGTAATTAGTTTCAAGACCTTTTCTTTTTCTCTTATCACCTGGAAAAGAATACAGTATCTCTGCATATAAGGAGGTATGGGAGATGGCATAGAAGTTTTAATTTCCTGCAAGCAATATTTCATGGTGTGCTGGCAGGCTTAGCTGTGTTTGATCTGTTGGTGAATATATTTTTTTTATTAAGGCACTGCAAGAAGCATAGATCTAACTTTGCCATTGTACTAAGGTGTATTAGAGGAATGACATTTATAACCTGGGAGGTTCTGACGTGTTATAAGGTCATAAAATAGGTGAAGAGAAGAGAACCACTATATTGTGGGTGTGTAGGCGGTGTGAGTGTGCAGCTAACATCCCAGTTATCTAGAGAGGCTTTGTAAAGTGACACAAAGATTGATAGAGATGGGAAATTGTCATCTTTAATTTAATCTACTGAATCTATTTTGAAAAGTTGTTTGTTCATTATGCATTTGGACACCTCTTTTAAGATATCTTCACGAAATTTTGTGTGATGGTTCCTGAGATCAAGGAGCAAGTTTTCATCTAGTCATGGCTACATCTGGACACAATTTTGAATCCAGATGGCAGACTGAATATTTAAAAAATGCACTGATCGAGGCCAAAACTACACTGCTTATTTTGGTTTCTTTGAACTCAAATTCTCTAGTAATGTAGCTGCTAGTGTATAATTCAAGTTTTGGAGCCTGATACTCATTTTTGAAATAAATGCCAAGGGCATTTGAAGTCAAAAGCATTGTAGGGATGAAACAGAGACAAGCAGCTTGCTGCTCTATGGCCTCATGTGACCTTTGGTCCGATTCCATTTCATGTTAAGGATGGAATATGGGGAAAGTGGGTGAGAGAGAAACGTAATGGGCCTACCCATCTTTGGCACTGGGCTTCGCACTTTTGACTCTGGCATCACCAGTTTGTGGTACTTCCAGATTACCCCAAGGGACTGTGCACCCAGAAGAAGAAGAAGAAGAAGAAGAAGAAGAAGAAGAAGAAGAATTTATTTATACCCTGCCCATTCAACTGGGTTTCCCCAGCCACTCTGGGCGGCTCCCAACAGATTAAAAACAGAATAAAGGTTGCTCTTTCCTCTAATACATTATTGAAAGCAGTTCACCCTCACAAAGCTACAATTCCCAGGGTTCCTAGGAATGAGGGATTGATAATTAAACCACTCTGGGAATTGTAGCGCTGTGAGATACCTCCTAACAACTCTCAGCACCTTTTACAAACTATGGATTCCAGAATTCATTCTGAAAAGCCATGACTGTCAAAGTGGTACAGGATTGTTTTAAATGCATAGCATGGGTATAGCCAGTGTCTTTCTTACTACTACTTAGGCTGCAATCTGATACCTTCCTACCTGGGAGTAAGAAGTTACTTCTGAGCAGACATAGCCTTGCCCTGTTACTGAGTTTCTGTTTGAGATGAGGTTTGAACCCACACTGCACAACTGCAGTTCTGTTAGGTAGGTAGAAAACATATCTTTATTTTTCTTTTCTCCAGTTAGAAAGAGTTCTCTGATCAATCATCTCTTTAAAGAGAGAAACCTTGGGCTTCTGAAACATAGTGTATACTTTCATGTGTAAGCAATTGTTCAACATCGCACATGAAAACGGCTGGTGCTAAATTGAAGTGCTCAGCTAGTGCCATTTTCTGCCTCTCAGCTCACCCAAAGCTCTTGCAAAACGGAATCTGTCACCTCAAGTGCTCTTGCTTGTGGAAAGCTTCTATTCACCAAGGACGCCATCCACGCACAATGAGATCATGGGATGAAAACAAAGCCACATCCAGGGATTCTAGTTCAAAGGCTTCCTACAGCTTACTGGGGATGAGCTATAGCTCAGTGGCAGATAATTTGCTTTGCATGCAGACGGTCCTGGGTTCAATACACTGTTTTCTTTTGCTCATAGCTCTTGATTCAAGCAATAACATGTTTTTGTGGCTCTTCAAGTCAAAGCTTCTTTCAAGATCTTAAAGGTTTATCCCCCTATTTGGGGCATTGCTGCTTAGAATATGTTGGCATCAGTCTGTCTTGAGAGACAATGGTTTGCACGTCTGGGGATGAAGTCAAGCCACTATGTTAGCAGGACCAAAGTGACCTCCTTGGGGCACAAGCCTGGGCAGTGTGTATGGAGATCATGGGCTGCCCTTGCTGGTGTGGTCGAAAGGAAAGCAGAGCAAGACGTTTGGCACCAGCTTGGCTGCAGGAGTTGTCAGAGTACAAGTTGCCATCCAACCGTCCTAGGGACGCCACTCCGGATTTGTGTAGCATTTAGTCGTTAGCCATTTCTTCTCCTGAAGATATCCTGCAAGGCAGCGGAGGTTTCAGATCACAGTTTTCCTTCTCTCCTACCTGCCCCTCGCTTCCCTCCACAGCATGTACAGAATCCGCCTTCTTGACATTGAACCAACTATTGGTTAAATCCCTGGTGGCAACTATTGGTTAAATCTCAGGAGTCACCAAGTCAAGTAAAACTATTCCAGCAGTCTCAACCACATTTTATCCAACCACCAGCTTTACTGTGTATCGTGGGTACATCTACAACTATTCAAAACAATCTAGTTTTCTTAGGCCATATTGCCAAAATGCAGGAAAAGGTCACACTATCAGGTTCACCATCCACTGATGAAGGGTGTGGGCTGCTCATTCATATAGTACATAAAGCAGGTGGCACCGCGGGAAGGTAAATTTAACCCATACCATGAAAGGCTTGGAGGACACACAAGCCAGAAAGATGATATTGCTGGACTACAACTTGGAGGACACACAAGCCAGAATGGCAAATAGGGATGATGGGAGTTGGAATCCAATGTCTGAAGGGTCACAGGTTCCCCCATCCCTGGACTAAACCACATTTAGCCACACTATCCACAGACACTCTTTGATTGAACAGGTGGGAGAAAAGCAACTGCAAGATTTTTGGCATTGAACAATGAGCCCCTTATTAATGAATAATACCATGTCCCATTTTAATCTTCTTTTAAGGAAGCTGCTTTCCCCTGCGCAACTGCATTTAAGGCATGCTAATTCTTAATCAGGTCAGCTTTCCGAAACTCCAACATCATATTCCCATATTAAAAATGAATGAAGGAGACAAGATGCTGCTTTTTCTCTCCGGGTTCAGGGAAGACTACCACAGCAACTAAGTCACTTGAGCTTTTAAGTCACTGAAAATAAAAGGGACTGTAAAGGGGAATCTTCTTGCATAATATGTGCCATTTAGTCAGAATTAGGGAAGGGGAGAGAGAAATTCACCTTGGTTCCCACATAAAGGGAAATCTACTTGCACATTCTGAAACAATACGTGCACTGAAACATAGCCATCTTCTTGAAGAATCATAGAATTGTAGAGACTGTTAGATAAAGGAAGGAAGTTTCTCAGGTGTGTTTGGCCCCCAGTGAAAGGCCTTTGAGGAAGGATTGAGGCAGAGTAGCAGAGCACCTGCATTGCATGCAGGAAGGTTCAGTCCCCAGCATCTCCTGCCTGCCTGAAATATTGGACAGCTGCTGCCAGTCAGTGTGGAAAATACTGAAATAGGGGATCAATGATCTGACTCAGTATAAGGAAGCTTCCTTGGAATGCAAAACACGAACTCTCTCTCCATTTCACATCCCATGCTTCCCACCATGCAAATCTTAACATTCTCCTTGTGCCTAATTACAAATTAATTACCAGATGCATGATTAAGCTGTTCATATTTCAGATGCTTAAAAAGCAAGCATGCCCTCCCATTCTCTCTGCTTGAGATCCCAATTGTGCCCTTGGCAGCTCTCAAATGCAATTGACTCAGGGATGGTTCTACAAACACTATTGAATAGATATCTCCAAACAAAGAAAAAAGTAGAGAGCAAGAACACTTTGCACAAAGGTATAATTTAACTGATGCATGAGAGAAAGAGCGTGTGAGAGAGGGAGGGAGGGAGAACTTCCCCCCTTTCAGCTGTTCCACTGAAGAAACACGGGTCCTACGCTCATCTCCATTACCCTAGGAATAGGATACCTTAATCTGCAATTACTGTGTTGCCAGATAATTGTAATTGTTGAAGGGTACTCTTGCAATGGAACCACCAAAGAACGACTGTTTTTGTGCTGAATGCTTAAAGCTGTAATCTGAATCACACTTACCTGTAAATCCCATTGGATTCAGTGGGATTCACCTCAGAGCAGGGATGGGGAGAGGTTCAATTCAGTCCACATTTAAAGGTTGTTGTTGTTTAGTCGTTTAGTCGTGTCCGACTCTTCGTGACCCCATGGACCAGAGCAGCCAGGCACTCCTATCTTCCACTGCCTCCCGCAGTCTGGTCAGACTCATGTTTGTGGCTTCGAGAACACCATCCAACCATCTCGTCCTCTGTCGTCCCCTTCTCCTTCTGCCCTCAATCTTTCCCAACATCAGGGTCTTTTCCAGAGAGTCTTCTCTTCTCATGAGGTGGCCAAAGTATTGGAGCCTCAGCTTCACGATCTGTCCTTCCAGTGAGCACTCAGGGCTGATTTCCTTAAGAATGGATGTGTTTGATCTTCTTGCAGTCCATGGGACTCTCAAGAGTCTCCTCCAGCACCATAATTCAAAAGCATCAATTCTTCGGCGATCAGCCTTCTTTATGGTCCAGCTCTCACTTCCATACATCACTACTGGGAAAACCATGGCTTTAACTATATGGACCTTTGTTGGCAAGGTGATGTCTCTGCTTTTTAATATGCTGTCTAGGTTTGCCATCGCCTTTCTCCCAAGGAGCAGGCGTCTTTTAATTTCATGACTGCTGTCACCATCTGCAGTGATCATGGAGCCCAAGAAAGTAAAATCTCTCACTGCCTCCACTTCTTCCCCTTCTATTTGCCAAGAGATGATGGGCCCAGTGACATTTAAAGGTGAACCCACCTTATTTTCAGTTCTGAAACAATACACAGCCCTTCTTCAAAATTTGCACTTCCAATTTTTGCAAGGCAGTTCTCCAGCAAAGTAATGGGTGCAAAAATGCATGCGCTAGGGTAAAGTTGCATATAGATAGATAGATAGATAGATAGATAGATAGATAGATATGGGTGAAAATAACATACCAAAGTGCATTATAGAATCATCTAGTCCCACCCTTGCCATGCAGGAAACATTTGCCCAACGTGAGGCTTGAACCTACAACCGTGTGATTAAGAGTCTCATGCTCGACCAACTGAGCTATCCCATTTTGGAACATTGCCTTGCAAAAGAGGCATATTAGGCAATATTCTATGCAAGCAAGCATTTATTCAGAGAAATCCATTGATTTATTTTCACAAGAATATTAAAAATAAATAAATCACTGACTGATGTGGACATGTGGAGAGCTGAACTTAAGCGTAAAAAGAGGAAAAACTAAAAATTACAGATTAACCCATCTGTCCTTTTGAGTAACTGTATAGGACTGTGATGTTAAGCCACTTGTAGCTTTATTGGAGAAGATGAACTGCTTTAATCACTGAGTAGTGGAGAGGTGTTTAAGGACGCCCTGTGGGAACATTACAAACCATTTTTCAATAGTTATCAAATACTATGTATCTGATTGCCAGTATTCTTTACTATTGTTCCTTGAGTTTGTGTTGTTTCAATTAGACTACAAAGCTTCCCTTTCTTATTCCCTGCTTTTCGGCAATATGTGTGTGCTTGCATGATGCAGTTGAAGTGATGCGGTTTCCTTTTGCTAGGCAAGTGAGGACAAACTGTTATGGCTGTGGTTTTCCTGGGAGGAGAGACTGCTAAAGTGACATCAGACTGTGACCCTAATCCCAGTTATGGACTGCTTCAATCGCAGCTTCCGGCTGGAAGATGCACACTCTTCCAAGCAGATGCCACTGTTGCTATGAAATGACTAAACAGGTAGCAACCTTGAAAGCTGCCCTCTTGCCCCCAGCAGAAGAGTCAGAATGGGAGGGGGAGGGATTAGAAAATAGCAATTGCCATTATAACGTGTGGGTGAGGGCAATTGTCTTCACACCTTGCTTTAACCTAGTTGGACACTGCAAGATACGGGATGCTGGTCATGATGGGCTACAGATCAGGCCTGACAAACACAGCAAATCAGTTCTTGCCCCCATGAAGCAGTTGTTGATAGGGCCTTGCAGAGCCAGGCAGAGGCCCGGGCCAGGTAGATAATGTGCCCCCCCTTTTTTTTACCCTGGGGATAAATCTTATAAGTCTTATAAATACGTAAGTATATAAATAACTTTCACAAAAGTTATGCTGACAAATAACTGTCTAAATTATGACTTTGCACCTCCACGTTCGCCCCAGTGCATCCCCTGCGATTGTGTATATGCTGACCGAGGCCCCCTTTGGAATCGGAGGCCCGGGCTAAGTGGCCCATATGGCCCCCGCCCTCTGTCTGGGCCTGGTTGTTGAGACTGAAGGTCCCTGCCTCCCCTCAGCTGCCTAAGTCCCCTCCTCTCATGTGTGTTTCCCAAGCAACCAGAGACTGTGCCTGCATGCCTGCCTTTGCTCCTCCTGCTTCATGCCTCTCCTGGTTCTGAAAGACTAGGGGGAGAAAAGCTTGTCACAGCGGAGGGGGAGGGGAGACACCTGTGACTCTTCACCAGCCTGACTCATCTCTGCCTCTTGGCCTCCCTCCTCCCACTCTCCAACTTCCGCTTCTGGACTTCTCTCTGCCACAAGCTCTCTCAGCTCACTAAGCCCTGGCACCTCTTCAGTTTCCAAGACTTCCTCCTCCCAGTTTGCTCCCTCTTCTCCACCACCAATCCCTGGGCTCTGAGCCTCCTTCCTTTGGGGGTTCCCCAGCTTGTTTCTTCCCCCATTCCTTTGTGTCCAACCGGTCCATGGCAGGTGGGTGGAGCCAGAGACAAAAGCAAGCGGAGCAATGGATGTCAATTTTACCTTTGTACGGTAGGCCACTTTCTACAGCCCTCTCTGCCCTCCAGCCAGGCAAGGAAGAGCCATTATCAGAGGACACATGTCAGCAGGGGCGGAAATGCTCAAGAAGAGTTGAAGCAATGCTGGCGAGGGGCGTGGCCTGGAGGAATATAGGGTGGCTGGGGAAGGAATGTGCCCGGGGTCTCTTCCCAAGGGCCAGAGAGAGAGAGAGAGAGTGAGGTCTGGAGGGCCACATATGCTCCCTCCAGGCCTGCCTGAAGTTCCCCACCTTGTCATAAGAGGAAAGTCTGGCAACTGGTGGAGATAGTGAGCAGAGCAATCCATGTGCATTGGCATTCTGAAACCTGTATCACTCTGGTCCCTTTTTTGAAAGAAAAAGATTGCTCATTATTGTCCTCTCGCTTCAGCTGTCTGCCACCTGTTGCTTCTGTGTTGCGTGTTTATGATTGCTGATGCAAAATGATCATGCAGAGGATGTCATGATATACTCGAGCAACAAATGACCCCCTCACCCCTCCTCTTCGAGTCAAGGTGCATTGTGTCCAAAGCCAACCATGGTATTTTGGCACCTGAGGCAGAAAAACCCCACAAACTTCTCTCCCCAGCAGTAAAAATACAATGGCAAGTTATAACTGACAATTGGGTGCCTTTGCAGAGGTTTTTCAAACGGGCTTGTTTAGATGTTGCATGTTGCCACCCCATAGGGAGATAAGACTGCAAACCTGTCTTAAACATTTTCACAAAACAGCATTTCTCTTTCTCGTCAGCTGGATCCTGTGCAATGGCCCCTATAATTGCAGTTATAAAACTGTAATCCTCCTCAGAGTGAACATGGTGTTTAGATTTGGGAGTTGGAGGTGGGTGGAGAGGAGAATTGCACCGCATGCTAGACAGCAAATAGCTGAAGATAAAACACAAAGCCTGCAAAAAATGAAAGATGAATGTGAGATGCCTACAAGCTCTCTGGGGTCTTTTAAGAACAGCCAATGCTGAGTGAAAAGTACTGCTCGTGATTAACGTATTCCTGAAAAGCTATTCAGCACCTCTCTCGCCTTTCTATATTTATTTGACACAAATACTACCTTCCCTCAAGGATTCCTACTACTGAATTCTAACCCAAGACATAATTTATCTAAGACATCTGAAGCCTAACCCCAGATATAATTTATTTATGACATCACAGAATCATAGAGTTGGAAGGGACCCAAGGGTCATCTAGTTCAGCCCCCTACATACATAGCTGTTATAGAGGAAGCCTTGTTGCAGCAGAGGAAATGAAACCCCCAAAGGGGAGAAACACCAAAGGCAACAATCCAATCCTTGGATTAAGGATTTAAGTGCAAAATTAGAAGAATCATTTTTTAAAAAGAATGATACGAAGAAGTAGTGCACAGGATAGCTAAGAATCATTTAGCCTGTCTGATAACCCACAGATATTTCAATTCTTGACTAATAACAATTCAGTTTTGGAAGTCCAGAAAATCCAGTGATGTCTAATGTCAATAATGGCTGGCTTCTGGGCCTATTTCCATAAGATCTGAATTAGGAGCCCAACCAAATGTGAATTTTGAATCCCTGCGATGGGGTGAGCTCCCGTTGCTTGGTCCCTGCTCCTGCCAATCTAGCAGTTCAAAAGCACAAAGCGCAAGTAGATAAATAGGTACTGCTCTGGCAGGAAGGTAAACAGCGTTTCCATGAGCTGCTCTGGTTCGCCAGAAGCGGCTTAGTCATGCTGGGCACATGACCCGGAAGCTGTACGCCAGCTCCCTCAGATGAGAGCCACAACCCCAGAGTCGTCTGCGACTAGACCTAATGGTCAGGGGTCCCTTAACCCTTTACCTTTACCTTTTAGTCTTTACAAGTTATTTGCATGTTACTAGTGTGATGGAGTGGCTGGAATGTTGGGACCAAGACCTGGGAGACCAGGGTTCAAATTCCCACTTGGTCATGAAGCTCAGTAGGTGATCTTGGGCCTGTCATCAATTGTCAGTCAAACCTACCTCACAGGGTTCTTGTGAGGATAATATGAGAGTTGGGAGAGCCATGCACACTGCCTGGAGCTCCTTGGAGGAAAGATAATGGCTATAAATGCCATAATCAACATAATTGAATGACTAAATGAATGAATTCACAACTGAAGGAATCCAGGGACTCGATGGTTTGGTCAACCCCTGTGAGGGCGTTGTGCCTGTGCCTGAGTCGAGGGGCACATTTGGGTGGTGGAGTTATCCCGTTCCTGGCTTTCTGCTTATCCAGGTGTTCACCCTTGGCTGACCTATGCTGGAACCCTGGATCAGTGCTACCTGCATGGCAGGGAGCTAGTCGAACCAGAGTCTATGCAACCAGTCACTTTCTGTAATCAGTAAAGTTGTGACATAAATTCTGCCAAAAACCAAAATTTGAGTCATGTGTGAATTTATTTGGGGGGGAAGTTTCTGGGTCTGAACACACAATTAAAATGTTATTTGCCTAAAGCCAAAATGACACCAGAGTAGGTCCCTGCCACCATGAATGTCCTTCACAAACCTGGCTGTCATCCGTCATATTTCTGAGGACTTTAGCAATCCTTCTTGATTGATATTAGACCCATTTCTGTAGAGGTCAGTTTACTACAAAGCTATCTGGCTAGCCACCCGTGGGAAAAACGGTTGATCATAGGTTATAAAACGCAGCACAAACAGGACAGTACATTCATGCCCCCGCAAAAGCAGTTTGATTGCAACTGTTTGCCTCTATGAAGATCAAGGACGGTTTAGGCTTCCGCTCATCTACAAAAGAGATCAAACAATCCTGAACATGTGCCCACAGAAAAGAGAGAGGGAAACCATTGTAGGTCTCGGAAATTCAGTGCAAAATAAAAGCATTAACTATGAAAAGATTCTCCAGCAGTTCAGAAGGATGTGAGCGATGCCTTTCTGACCGGTTTTTGTGTTCAGAGGGTTTTCATTGCATTTGTCCTTCAACCCGGAGCTTTAAGAATCAATTCAAATTCTTGAATGTCAAATATCGACATTCCACGGCCAGCAATAACTGTTCTGACTTAGCCGCAGCTCCTGAACTGTTGAATGCAATGACATGAGAGGAAAGGGAGGGTTTTCATTTTCATGCGCCTTTCTATTTTTATATCTGTGGAATTGTTTCCAACCGGACTGTCACTGGGCAATCTTTACACTGCACAATGTTGTCAAAGGATCTGCCAGTCCTTTTGTTTGCAGCACACTATAATCCAGGAGATTTTTCAGGCAGCCTTCATTTAATATGTAGGCTAATGTATTATAGCCATTTGGAGGGGGGAAGCCAGTGGTGCAAGAAGGCAGGAC